ACCCACACTGCAGGTGGACCTACCACTACAGAAAGTGTTTAAATGGTTTAGTTTGCTTTCTCAAAAGAGAGAACTTACACACATTGGCAGAACCTTCTCTAACAGGACTCCTGGCCTACACAGCCATGCTGGCAGAGATGGGTAACAAAGACATCATCTTTAAGTCCCTTTCACTTTTGTGAGATCAAGGAAGATCATCTAAGTAACTACAGCATTATACTATGAGTTTTAAGTGAAGAAACTAGAATTCTGCTAAATAGTTTGCAAGTCAAACACGCATATCAAAAATAAAAAACAAATCTAAGAGTACTTCCGGTAGAGACAAAACCACCCTTGTACAAGGAACATGGTGCACTCCTCATCTTTGACAAAGGAAGACTGAACACTTGACAAGGTATGAAGTCACACAAGCATGAATAACCAACACATCCAGACTTCAGACCCTCTCAAGACATACACTTACATAATTTGTAAGTAGTTTTACAGATAAAACCTAAAAATGAACATGTTTAATTTCACTTCCTGTGTTCAAACTTTAAACAACTTAGATTTAAATTGCAATTGTAATTGTTCAAATCAGTTTCCATATAGCACAGGCAGAAAACAAAGATGTTGGCAGCCACTGAAATGGTGGTAGAAATTACCTAGAACAATATGGGAAGCCTGTAGCAGAATGTAGCACTGATGCAACTTCTTATATTTCCATCTTTTCTTCATCTCAACACTGTCTCATTCCTAGCAATCTTTCAACCAGTCTCTTCCCCATTTGTCTACATGACCTCATGACTTCCCAAGCCCATGTCTTTTACTTTTTTGTCTGCCTCTTCCCATTCTCAATGCTCCCTTAACATGGCTCTTAATTTTTTCCTTAACTATGTCTCTTATGTTTCTTCCACCTCTCTCAGGTTTGGATTTTATCCTCCCTTGCAGTGTTCAGTCTTAGTAAAAGGCAGACACAATTCCAAGTAAGCCAAAGTGATGTTTGGCAAAGCAATAACTTACAGAAGGAAACACTGAGGAAACTTTGACAGAGATGCCACTGCCACATTCAACACTTTGCTCTCACCTGCAAAAATACAAAATAGCTCAGGTTCCCTTTCGCTGAAGGAGAAGAGTGGTGGGAATAATGCAACATTAGAAAGTTATTTTCACCTCTCTTGTTCTCTAGATTGATCTATAATACATTGTAATTAATTTTATCTAGAGAAGTCTGGGGACTTCAGAAAATTTACCCCAGTTTTTACAGTCCCAAAGAAGCCAAATGCTTGAAAAGCCAAGTGAGTGATCAGATTCCACCATCAACACCCCTGCTAATCCAGAAAGCAGAGTGGGAGTGAGAGTGAGAGAGCAGGCACAATTGTTGAAATTAAATAACAAGAGAAGCTAAAAATTCACTGAAGTACAGAAAAAATAAAAGAACTTATAAAAAATGAGGGAACAGCCAAACTTGCAGGAACCAAGAACCATGACTCAAGAAGCAAGAACAGGAGAACACAATAAATCAAACTACAGATCCAAGAACAACTTCCCCTTCCTCACAGAAGCCCTTCCTCACAGAGCATGCATGGGAAAACTAGTGTGCACTGTATCTTTACGTGGAGATGAGAGAATGCAAAGCCAAAGACTATAGATTTAGGTTGTTACATATATGGCAAATGACAGTTTTTTACTGTTCAAAGTGTATAAAAATGAGTGCCTGGCCTACTGAAGGTGTGCTACCCTCATGGATTCAGCACCCAGCACCTATCTCTGCACAGACACAAAATACAATCAAGTATCTCAACACAGTGTGTGCATCCTGTTCCTGCACACTGGGTGAAAAGAATCCGTATTTGGGACAACACAATATGCTGGCATTCTGGCCACTTGAGAGCTCTCCCAGAGTAGGGAACACTTGAACTGCCTGTGTCAGCCTGGGTCCCAATCATGTGGGTCCACTTCAAGAGTATAAAGTCTGCAAGAGACACTGCAGCTCCATCAGTCTTTTGCTGTTACACTAAAAGCAACAGTGCTGTCTGAACTTTGCATGGTAAGGACATGAATATTGGTTAATTTATTTTAAAAATACCTATTAAAAATGAAAAAAAAAAACCAGCAGCAGAAGTCCAGTCATTACACAGGTACAAGAAAATCCAGCGGCACAGGGAGTTTCCACAGACAAAGGATTTCCCACAGCCTATTGTTGGAAACACTGTGACTCAACTGCTCATTTCTTGCTCAACAGGCTGCTGATTCAACCAGAAGAGGATGCTGGTATGTCTCACCTTCTGCATTCCACCTACTGCAGCCGAAATCAACAAAAAAACTGGCTTTGAGAAAACATGTGACTATATCTCATGCTAGTTTCTAGCTGTTTACATGACATACTTTCGTTGTACAATATCATGTTTTTGTCAATGCCATTTAAAGGTACATATAATAAAACAATAAATCAGGAAATTTAACTGCTGCTATCTCCTTATCTTGCTAAATTCCAGTTGGACATTTCACTGCAAGCAGGTGGTTAGAAGGTGAGTATAATATGCTTTCAGAGCATAATATGCTTTCAGATTCACTGCTGTATGAAGAAACTACTGACCAGAGAAATTGTCAGCATACAAACTTACAAAATAATCAGTTAAAACGTGTTTTGCAGCTGGAGACAAATCCTGTTAACACTGTGTATGAAGAACAGTCTCTTGTGAAAATTAATGACCTGATGCAACTCCCCAGAGAAAGCCCTCAGGTAAGGAATTCAGATGGAACCAGGGAGCAAGCCAGTGGAGGCTATTTTAAACTCAAGCCTTTCTACAGCTACTTCCAGGTACAGCCCTAAATGCAGCAACAGTATCTGTTTCCCAGAAGCAGATTTCAAGCTGTCTCTGACAGGTAACTGGAGATAGGCAGTGTGGTTCCAGAGGCATGGCATGCAGCTGGCTGCCAAAATAAAGCATGAGTTGTTATTTTTCAGAGAACAGACTGTAATTCTGTTCTCCTGCAGAAGTTATATACATTTCCTTCTCATACTCAGAAAGGTTTGTTCAGGATGCTGGCAGGGGAAAGTAGAGAAAACTCCCTAGAGCAAGGTAGGAAGCAGAGACAGGAGAAGTGTGGCTAGAGGCTAACAGATTAGCCATTACCAAATTTATAATCTGTGTAGACGCCAGAACATGTTAAATATCTTGGAGTAGCATTTTTAAAACCTCAGGACTGAAAGAACAGTGAATGAGCTCGTTTTAGCAACACAAATGAGTTCCATTAGGGAAAAAAAAGGGAAAAAATGAAAACCAACCTTTCCAGGACTTTCTATTTTTTGCATATCAGCATGCATATGCACACAACAGATACTGCTGAATTCAATCCCAAAAATCACAAATGTATCACTGCCCTACCTAAAAACCCACAAAAGTATCTTCATTTCAGTCAAGCAGTTAAACCTGTGCTTAACTTAAAAGATCATGAGTGAATGTATCTGAAGTAAACAGGATTTGAGTGCTTTGTTGGTGAAGGCACAGGCTTACTCTTTATATTCCTAAAGATGAAAAAGAAGTGTTTTGCTGATAGATGGAAATAATGAAAGAAGATAAAAATTCATTGTTGAAAATTACTTGAAATTCCTATCATAACAGTAACATAGCCATTAATTAATAGCTTACAAACAAAATATAAACCAGCTATGTTTCACTCAAGTCTGGATATACAACATTAACCTCCAATGATGAGAACTATGTTATGATTTACTAGGAAAGCTTTAAAAATCATGAATATTCCAAATAAAACAAAAAAGTTCTGAATCATCCAACATAAACTAGGAGGTCTGCAAGAAGGTGACATCCAAGATGAAATGTATATTTAAAGACTGCATACAGTGCCTGTATTTACTGCTATCCAACACCTGCTGATGTGGACATAGTTTTCAACTCCTTTTAAATATGTATATTTACTTTTTTTAAAGAAGATTTTTCCATCAAGCATCTGACTCAGGATGATTTATTAAAGAAAAACCTTTCTACAAAAGAAAAAGCATCTCAGAACAGAACTAATGGAAAACACATTGCTTTGCTCTCCTGTTGTTGCTTTTAAAAGAGCAAAAAGCAATAGCAAGATAACAGCAGGGCAGGTTTAATTGAAAAGCTCTACTACCTTCAAGTTTTGAAACAGAGATTTCCCATCTTGAAGGGAAATCAGGGATGCGCTTTTGCCTCTTCTAGAGAAATCCATACAAAACCAAGAAGTCAATTAGCAGACACACACTAGACTAGGTTACTCAGGAAGTTGAGTTCTCCAGGCATGATGTGGCCTGAAAATAAAGGGATTAAGTCCAGCCTGCCCTGGGACTGCCTCTTTCCTGCCTGGCTCTGCTGTGGATCCCTTGCCTGCTCCTGGCCAGGCTGCGAGGGGATGGGATGGGATGGGATGGGATGGGATGGGATGGGATGGGATGGGATGGGATGGGATGGGATGGGATGAGAAGGGAAACTCGCGACCGCGGTGCCCCCTGGCGGTCGCTGCCGGCACAGCCGCGCCGGGGGTTTGTCCATCCTGTGACCAAGCAGAGAACGAGACCCTGGTTAATTGAGCAGGCAATTAACGAGTTCATCCTTTATAAGCACCCGCAAAGTCAGGCGGCAGGTAGGTTTTAAAACATCGGTTCCCTACTGCCACAGCCACCAGTTTGTTCCCAAAATCAGCTGCCTCATCCATCTGCACTTCCATCTTCCACAGTACACAAGGCAGGTATCACCCAAGACTAGGTTGTCTTAACTACAGTGCCCTCAGTCATTCTCCAAGCATTACCCTTCTCACATTTCCACTGGTGTGAGTTTCATGGGGAGGAATTAGAAACTCTTATCACACTGGGAAAAAGAATACATAGTTGCACCAGCAACTTCAGTATTTTATACCTGCCAAAGATCTATCTTTGCAACCATGTATTGATTTAATGTAACATTTGTGTCTATTAAGAGATACTATTTCAATAAGGATAGGTTTTCACAACGTTATTAGAAGGGGCGGTTTACCTGATTTACCGTTTCCTCAAATGCTCTTATATAATTATTAAGATCTCTGTCCATTGCAGCAAATTCTAACATGACTTTTTCCATACTGCTAATATCCTCTTCATCATCTGCAAAATAAAACATTTGGAACATGGATGATCAGTTGTAATATTTTCAGGCAGTATTTCTTCTTTGCAAGTATTTTATTTACAATATTGATACTGTGAATGTCTAAAGCATATGTAAGTCTCAGCAGGTGTTTTCAAGCTCCTCAAACATATACTTCTTTTTTGCTATTTTGCAACTGTAATCTTTTAGATTTCTTGGGTAACAAACAGCTTACTCAGAAAGACACTTCCCTGGTTTCATGTGAACAAGAGAGAGTGTGTGTAATTTCATCTACCAACACCTAGTCATTAGGCAATCAGGATATTTTCTGCAAAAGTTATATTTCATGACTCATCACATTGCCTCAGAAATAGTCAGAAGAAACTTAAATGCCCTCGCAGTACAGTACAGTTCACAGCTATAATTAGACCCCTTATCCCCAATAAACACAGCTACTGGAAAATCAAAAGAGAGCCAGCATTTTATAACACGGGAAATAATGGAGGACTGAATAGCATTGGCTCAAGCAGTAAAATTCTAATTGCCTGGGAAAATCAATTAATACATGCGATTAGTAATTCACATCCACTTTTATTTTCTTCTCCTTTCCTCCTAATTTCACTCCTTTCATCTCTAACTGCACCTCTGCTTTCCCATTGTAACGTTGCTGTGCATCTGCTTAGCTGGGTAAGGACCCTTTGTAGATGCTACAGGGCTGAACAGCCACAGTTCTGTCTCTGACAGAGTCGCATGAACCACACCAAATCCTGCCAACTGCAGGAGGACAGCCAGCCACGAGCCCCTAACTCACACAGGAAATTAGGAACTTAGGAAACCTAAGTTTCCACTTCTGCTACTCCCATTTATTCCTACCCTGCAGCTTCCAGGTAGAGAGAAAACAGCTGGAAGCAGCTGGAAGCTGTGAAAGAGCCCCAGAGTCTGCCATGCAGCATTAGGGGTTATCTTTTAATGGAGTGTTCTTCTTTACAAGCAGTTAAGTAGCCAATCTGTGCTGTTACTTTTAGGAAGAAAATTGTGGTACACCTTTTTAAATTACTTCTTTGTGAAGAAAGGAAAATGTCTTCTGATCTGGCAAGCTAGTAGTACACTGCCTAAGTTGCTAACTATATCATTATCTTAGAGCACAAAAATCTGTCTCTGCAGAGAGCTAACACAAAGCACTGTATATGGCCATCAGCCTGAGAGCAAAATCTGAAACACATCACTCAGGGACGGAAGTTTTGTACCATTGATGGATCCAGGAGACTGAGGAAAAGTGCTAAGATATATTTACACAAAAAGTTACATAATAAGCCATTCTATTTTGTGAACATGGCAATTACAGTTGTGACATTTCCCTTAATTATATATAGGCTTGGTATGTATCCATTTTTCATTAAGTAGATGAATGGATGGATACTGCAGACAGAATCTTGGCATTCCTGTAACTTTCTTCTGAATAATCAGCATTTCCCTCTCCCCTTTCCCTTCCCTCCCACCCTATTTCCATATCCTATCTGGTAACTATGATCATACTCTTTCCTTCCTGCAAGGAAGCATATGAAGTGCCTCCTTCAAGGCTGACACAAATGGCACTCCATGAATCACAGGAAAGGTTTGTGTAGCAAGTAACTGTCATTCTCCACCCATGGCCAAAATGAATCACATCCACAACATAAAGAAACTACAGTGGCCTAAATATTTTTTTTTTTTTTAGGGGAAGAGAAGTGCATTGTTAAACACCAAGAGAGATGAATTAATGCTGTCTTTCCTAATAGTTAGAAAAAGCTTTAGGTAAGGAATAATAATGTTTCATGCAACTTGAGAGATGCATTAAAATAAAGCTCTAAGTGGTGGAACACAGCTCAGGCAAGAGGGACATTAACTACATCCTGCCCCACATTCTTCATGTGCTGACTGTTCCACACATCCACCAGCTTGCTTTAAGTCCCGGTGCTGCTCACTGCTGTCTCCTTGTTGCTGTTCTTTCATGCACAGGCTGTGTGTTCTACACACTGGAAAACTGCTGAATGCATCACTAGCGCACGGTCACAGCCTGCCCTCGGAGGTACCACGGACATACAGACAGATCTGAACGACTGCATACAGGTCAGTGGTTGTCCACACACAGATCTGAAGGACTTTATAAAGGTCAGTGGCTGTTCATACCCTATTTCTGCTCATTGACAGATTAACTAGAGTCCATTTTCTATCTGCAGTCCAATCCATACTCCAGGGCACTGACAAGCTAAGAGGAAATCTGTGTTGTTCCCAGCCACTCACCTCCCCATCTCCTAAATAAGATTTAAAAGAAAACTTACTTTACAGGCTATTCTATTTGCCTTTTAAAAACCTTTATTGTTCCACATTACACACAGCAATAACCTGCTGTGCAAGCCTCCTCTGCTTTCCCTTCCCCTAAGGAGCTAAGAACACTTCTGCCCCTCCCTGGTAAGGAGCAGATGCAGGGCAGAGCTTGGGTGCACACGAGAAGCTGTGAGTGACTCTATGGGAGTGTAAAGTTTTACAGCTCACCAGGGCAGGGATCCCAGCACCTTCAATGTTTCCTTACAGCAGACTCCACCATAAACTAATCAGAACACACTAGTTGACCTGATCTTACTAGGGAACAGGAAATTAGAGAAAAGAAAGACTTGCTTCTCCTTACCAATATCATACAACTCACTCTAACAAATCCCACCAACGCCTTAGTTTAACAGCACTATAGTACCAAGAAGAATCAAAATTTAATAATTTCGTCAGGGCTTTGAACAATTCAAAAGGCACTGTCTGTTACCCACTCTGCAAGCCCTGCTGCTGCTTTTATTTCAGTTGTGAGGACAACAGTGGAGATTCATGGTAAAGAGATTCAAGGCACTGACTCTCTTCCAGCAGACTGTGAGCACACTGACTGCTGAATACCCTCCAGCCAGACTCCAGCTACAAAGCCAGCTTACTCTCCAAAGTATTCAAACCTTCCACTCACTCTGCAGGCCAACAACCCAGCTTAACACCAAAATCAAATGCTTTGCAAGTGCAAGTGCTGTACCAGTGCCTTTCTGTTATCTAATCAAAATTTATCCTCATCTTATTTCTAACTCATATCTAAGGAATGCATTCCAAACTCTCTGCATATGCTTTTAGCTACTGCCACAAAATACCATCAAAGTTGCATATTGTAGTTGTCTCCTTGTTATCTACACTAAATATGTTGAGTTTAGTAAGCATTTCTTCACAAGTCATTACCCTCACCACTCAGAGATTATACATTTTGCAATATTTCATTTTTTACTCACAGAAAGCCCAGTCCAAGGCCATAATTTCATTTACAAAGGCCCATGTGCATCATGTTAAAGTTAGCTGGCTGAATATGCAGAGTTCATGGTATAAATTCCAGCTTGCATGATTTCATGATCTCTTATTATAATGGAAACAGGGATATTATTCTGAAAAGTCTCCCTACAGATTAAAGAACAAAGTTACATAAAGTGACAACCAAGAATTCAATTTTTCATTTCTAAAGAGACCAAACTGGTCATGTTGAGGTGCTTTACTGCTGATTTAAACCATAATCAGTCAGGGCTGAGTTGTGTATCACGAACACAGTGTTAAAAGAGAAGTTGCAATAACAGGATAGAGTCAAGTCAGCACTGATTTAATACTTCCTACACTAACACTCATCTAAAATCTATCCAAAAAAATTGCATTTCCTTCTCATATCTGAGCTCATATTTACTTTAGTTCCCTGTATACATCCACAAGTTTGCAAAATTTCTAAAGATTTTTCACAACTACCTCTTTCTGTGCAAAAGTTACCATATTGGTATTTGCTTCTTTGGGGTATTACAGCTGCCCTGCAGCCAGCACACAGCAATTCAAATAAGCATTCACTTCCATCACAGACTATCTTAAACACAAAATAGTCTGGAATACCATGAAATTACAGAAAGGCTCTAAACTTGCAAATATAACAGTACTTAAAATGAATGCTTAAGCACAGACAATGTGGATTAACGTAAACACGTACACACTGTCACACGTTGATAGTCTTGTCTAACAAAAGTCAAACTTTCAATTTAAAGAAAACAGGACATGTCAGCTCTACCTCTTACACTACATACTAGTTTGCTTTGAAATTCAAGGCCACATGCTGTTTTTCCCATCGAGGTAGAAAACTAATGGTATACCATTTTGCCCACAAATTTTGACAGTAGATTTCAGACTTTTAAAACATTTAAAACAAAAAATCAGTCACTTGAGCTACTAGCAACAGCAGTAGTAGGCAGTTGTCTTCATATGCACCAGCAGCAGATAAAATGCACACTTTGCCAGCAGGTTTCAAGTTACTCCTGACAGCAGATGAACACAAGCTCCCCACTTGACTTAGTTCCATCTTCTGGAGGAGAACATACATTCTCAATTAAGGATACGGCTAAGCATTTTTGGTGTCATTTTTCCTTCATTTTGAAAACCAGACGTGTTAAGACTCCACTCTGCACCCCCAGTTTTGGTCTTCTCAAAACTGTTGATAATTCAAACTGGACAACAGATCTTGAAAAAAACTTTTAACCAACGCACACACTTTAAGAATAGATTCTTAAAATAGGCAGTAGCAGCATGTCCCTCTTATGTCTGGATGCTCAGTAGTGAGAGGATACAGACCTACATAGGATACCACTGTCTTATTTCCCTCCCCTGTCTAGATAGGCATGAACCTGACATGGCACTCCAAGCTACACAAACCAGGAAGAACCTAAACAGGAGATTGCTTCTGCAGCAGTGAGGGTACATCTTCACCTTTTCTCCTGCAGATACATGGACAGCTTCTCAGAAAACTCTCACCAAAGAAAATTTCTTTCAAAATCTCATCTCCCTGACCTGTAATATATTTTACCTATCAGGCTGCAAGAACAGCAGAATGTTAATGCAGAAAATTCTAAACTAAATGAAATCAGAAGCCATACAAAGGAACAGCAAAAGACTCAAGAATACCCATTTCATCTCCTGAGAGCAGGTATCC